AAATCAATCAAAGGACAGAAAAAATGACAATAGCTTTACTTTCTAGTACATGAACCTTTGAATTATTCGGTTGTAACTTGTATGATAACAATACTTGTATGAAAGCCACAAATTTTGTGTATACCGCTCTAGTTTTAGGGTAGATTTATTTTTCATACTAATCTCAGTCCTAAATGGAGTATACATAATATAACTATACAATAAAAGAATTTAGCTACATCTAATATATTTCTCCGCATTCTTTGGGAAGGATTAAGTTTAATACAGCAGATAGAAAGAGTAAATCAATGAAAACTTAATTTGCAAGTCGATTTCTCTGTAAATATCAGAGTTGGCGATAATATATATCTCTTGGAATATCAGTATTCAAAATGGAGATAATCATAGTTCTTTTCACCTGGACATCACAATTTTCTTTTCAAGTATTGCAGAATACACAAAGAATATTTATGTTTCTGTTTGACTGAAAGTTTTCAGGACTTTTATCTTGGAAAATCGCATAACTCTCTACGATGCTTGGCAAAGGAGACTGACTGAAAGCTAGGACAAACAATATACCCCACAGTCAATTTTACTGGCTGATTTCCTCTAATTTCTCGGAGATCCTCCATCATTCCTTACGCGAAGTTATTCACCGCAGTGCTAGATTTTCTACCACTTTAGTAACCGTAATACATCACTTACACCATTCACCCCCAAGCGAGATGAACTGTAGAAAATGACACCTCATCGTACGATGGAGAAGATTTGGCGCACTGTTAAGACACTGGGTTGGTCATACTTTTTCAGGCACGTGTGGTAGAAGGACGGGGCTTACCGGCTTACTTAGCCTGAAGCTTGTAAGCATTCACTTAAAGTCGGCTTTTGAGGAGTTTTCAAGATTTTGGATGTTTACGCTTTGGGATGTTAACGGTTTCGTCATCTTGCTTGATTCGGTGTCTTGAGAAAGGTCGTCTTCATTGAGTTGGGACCAAGAAAGTGGAAGATAATATGATCCGCTTTCAAGATAGAACCTAAACAATATACATATTCAGTCTCAAGAATGGCGCATTCATTAATAGTTGAGACAATGATACATCGAAATCAAATGTAACGCTTAGATGCGTGTGGACTGTTTCCATGTAGAGAACTCCACATTCTATTTGTTGATATCAGGAGAAGTATAGGTAGATAGGTAGTTCATACCTGCACCTAGTAACGTCTGAATCTATTATATCACTTCTTTCTTGTTTTGTCTTCATGTCCGACGATAATGATTCACTTTCTCATGCGGTTCAATTTTTCCTCTGTAATCAGCTTTTCGCTTGTGGCGCGGCTTGAAACTGATCCTCTACACCTTCAACCTGAAACCCATTTCGTTTGGTCTACCTGTCTCTATCCAAATTTAAATTTGCGCACGTCACCTAGCATTGCTTGACTACGGCAGATCTATCATCAATACCTCGAGCTAGATGTGCAAAATAAAGCTCTTAATACAGCTATCTTCATACTCACCTTCGATTCCGATACGGTACCGGAACGCGCTGCTCCAACTGATCCAACCTACGAAGACCGTAATTCTTTTCCACCATAAAAGGATTATTTCTCCAAGCTAACTTTACTCAGAAATGAAGGATAAATCTTCCCATAAATTCTTCGCTCATAAATGGGTTCGATCTCAAACCACGCGCGGATACGTCTCACCTTACAAAACTCCCATCAATACCCCTCCTCCCCAAGCCACACACAACCGAATCTCACTTTCCAAACCGCCAACTAATCCTCCTTCTCTTCAACCTACCAATCATCAACTTACCCGAGATCCCCGCCTCTCTCTAAACTATATCTTGCATCCCACAACTCCACACTGCTTCAACAAAGGCTGCATCCCATGTCTTCCAGTAGAAGTACGCCACATGATATGGGGCTACGCGCGCTCGCGCACTATTTCTATCGTCATTCACGACGATCTAATCTGCAGTCGCTCTCCCAGTCCCATCACTCTGCGCATAGACCGGGAAAGCCGTAGCGAAACCAAAAAAACCTATAAATCCCATAAGAAGTTTTATATCTTGGGAACAGAACACGACGAGCGAACTCCATATCCATTCTTTGATCCTAAAGTTGACAGCGTGGTTTTGATGGATAGTTTTATGGGATGTAATCCAGCGACGAGTTCGACAGTCTTTGGCTTTTACGGACCTATGTCTGTAACGAGTCTACGAACAGAGTTGGATGTTTCGGGTCATATGGATGTGATTCAATCGCTGCATATTCCTGCACATGCCTGGGTTTGGAACATAATTTGTCGATCTCCTAGGGCAGGTATTTGGTTCAAAAATCTAACGGAGATTGTTTTTCAGGGTGGAGAGGCGGGATTGAGAAATGAGGATGATATTGAGAAATGCAAAGAGGTTGTTAGGGGATGTTTTGAAAGAATCAGCGGAGAGATTGATGACGAGGATGATGATGATGATCAGACTCGAATTGTGGACCCGGACAGTCCAAGTCAGGCGGAGGTGGTGAGTAAGAAAATCAAGGTCCCAGAGGTCAGAGTTTGTATGCCCAAGGGTCTGGGCTTCGAATTAATGTTCGAAGAAGAGAAACTGGGGATGGAATCGGTTGAGGAGCGGAAATGGGTGATGAGTTTCATCAACAAGGTAAAACATGACCGCGGATAGGGAGAGAAAATAGAGTGGCGTTAAGTTCATAAGAGCAGAACAACACTGCTGTACTTGGGGGGGTTTCCGCGGACAAAAGGATGCGCTCAATAGGATTTGCTATTCGAAGAATCTTAGCATAAATGGAATCAAATTTGAATCGTACAGGTAACATTACCTTTTGATCGTTAGTCTACCAGCTGGAGTAATCCCAATTTCACAAGTCATGGACCACCCACCAAGTTCTGTAGAATAATTACCATTACAAAACTTTGATTCATAATGTGGTTGTTCTCTTTCCAATCACTACTCATTTCTATACTTACTGAAGTGAATAATCCAAGGGGAAGACTTTTATTTCTATTTCTCAAATAAAAGGTATGAACTGTCGCAACATTCACCATCTCCATCTTCATCTCTGAGTCATATCATATAACACAAGACTTTTGACAGTAATTATTCGATACTACCACTACAACAGGCTCCGATCTGTTCTACTTCGACCATCGTTTACACATTTGATGTGCAAAATGACACATTTACCTTATTTCAACAGTGTGAAGTCATCGAACATATCGCTAATGACACAAAGCCCCCCTGAAAATCGTTCATATATCTTAATACTTTGGAGTCATCCCACGTTTATGGCAACCATTGATCTTCACAACGTTGTAGTCATGACCGATGCGACATACTTCTCTCTCGAAATGCGTCAGAGGTATCGCTCTAGATGTGCTTATAAGCGTTGGGACTTCCCCTTTACTGCTCTTCCTTTCCATCCGTCAGCAACAACGAAATCCTTCAATACATAGAACTTAATCAACCCTCTTCGACTTCCTTGCCCAGGATCAGCACATCAAGCAGACTCAAAACCACCGTTTCGTTATTAAATACACATTTCCAAACATCTTCCTCCAAAGATTGGTTTCAGATCCTCGCCTTCTTGAAAAGTTTTGCTTGCTATCTTCTATACCCGTTTCCAAACTCTAGGGTTCTAAGTCCTGTGGTATATTGGACCCCTGTCCTATCGCGTGATTGGTTTCTGATTGCATGATCTAGCAACGCCAACAAGCTCAAGATTCAATTCAAAATACAGCTTTACACTATTAGGACACCACTGTAAGAAGAGTTGTTATATCCATCAGGCATATGCAAAATCTAATTACCATACAGAAGCAACCGACCCTTCCGATATCATTCATTATGTGCCGCACAACCCTGTTCGTGTACGTCTGTAAACATGAAGGCACGGAAATATTTAAGTGTAAAGAAGTTGGAAAGAAAGAAAAGGAAAGTCAGACAGTTTTGGATCCCGGAGATTGTGACTTGGGGCTTAACAAAAATGCCGGAGCCTTTGCTCTTTCTCGCCAAAAGTTCTGTCCCGATTGCACCACCAATCCTCAGAATAGACCGAAACGTACAACCGAGCAAATCAAACTAGACGAAGACAAGCGAGCAGAAGACAAGGAAGAACTTGTACAAAAATTGGCTCAGGCACAATACACTGCGCCTGGCACTCTCATGCAGAGTAGAGTGATGCTCTGCTCCGGGCCAAAGTTCGGTTACGGCTTTATATTCTATTTGACGAATTTGTCAAAGCAGACGATGAGTTGACGAAAGAATTCTCTGGATCGGCGGATGAGGAAGCGAAACTGTTTGAGGGAAGGAAAAAGCTCAATGAGGATTATGATAAAGCCACAGAGCCTGTTTGGAGGTATCTTCAAGAAGATAATCGAGATATGATCGGCGAACTTGAAAAAGCTGGGGAGAAGTGGAGCTACTTTATCGACTTCTATCGAGAAGACGAGTCTCCGGCTCGTTGAAATGGGTAGGGGGTTCGCGTGTAGCATCGGCGCAATGAATGGGTTGGTGACTTCTGCATACTGCTATATGTAAATTAGACTAGATAATCATGACTCAGTCATGGAATGAATCCAAGCGTGACTTTACGGAACATGATTCAAGTGGACAAAGTGTAACTTGCCTCAATTTGGCGTGATGAATGAATCTTTAGACTTGTATCTCAAGACTTGGCACAACCGTACCGGAGATGCAAGTTTAACTTTACCACAGAAACATGCATTGCCTATATCTAGAATTATGAATTACACTTAAAGTCAAGACAGCCTTTGCATCACTTGAATATATGACTGTATGTAGAAACTGTGCTCTATACTTCCTGAACTTGAGGCTAATGCTATTCCACATGAAAAATGATTGCATTGCTTATTTAAACTTTTATTACAGAGATTTGCATCCCTTAGCGGATGTTCCGTGACTAGTTAGAAGTATCAACAAAGTATTAAAAGCTAGTTTTTGTGAGGCAGGCTTAGGAGTTGAAGGCAGACTACTCGTAGACTCCGTTACTCCAGCTAAATAGAGACGCATATAATATTGCAGAGCCACACCTTGGTGAAACGAAATTTGGTAAGGTTTAAAAGTTGGCACATATCGCTAAAGAACTGGAATCCGCAGTTAAAATAGTGGCAGCAAAGAATCACAAATTTGTCGCAAATTTAATACAATGCATGGAACTGACTTGTTCCTTCTTATACTTCTGAATTTTATTATGAAGCGAACCTTCAGACCACTTCAAGCATACTGTAGCCTCTTCTCGGTCCAACCGGGCTGCAAATACGCTGCATCAAAAATCGGCTCGAAACTACTAGCGAAAACTCCAGTAACCTTCCACCCCACATCAACACCCATACTCTCACCCCCCTCCTCCTGTCTCCAAACACTCAATCCAATCACATTATCCCCATCATAATTCAAAATTCCAGGTGGTACAGGAAAATCAACTTGATTACCAATCCAAGGACTGAATCGTCCATATTGATATCCGTTTACGAAGAGAAGAGTACGAAGAGCTGCGTTCGAGGGAGAAGCGCTAAGGGTGAAGGATATGGCTACATCGAGACCAGTGGGGATGGCCAGCGGGACAGTGGTGCGGTAAAATGCTACCCCGGCTGAAGATGAGACGTTGTTTGGGGATGCGAAGGACCATTCACTATCATCAAAACCGGGGAGGTGCCAACCGAGACGTTCGGCGTAAAGACCACCTTCTGAGAGAATACCGCGGATGGGATCAATTGCTGTATCTAGCTCACCAGCTGTCCCAGTCACTTTCCAGGATGTAAATTTCTTATTAGAAGAACTGATTAGAGTTGAGTTGTTGATTCCTCGAGGGTTGAGTGCTTGGCTAGTTTCATCATGACCAGAGTTATCCTGGAGGACGAGAAGAACATTTGTGGAATTTGAGTTCACGGTTGCATTACCGAAAGAGAATGTCAATTCTCCAGTATCTGGGTAAGCAGCGCCTAAGTATGAGCCAATGAAATTGCCGTTCAACCACGCACTATATCCAAAAGCACGGCCTCCAGTAATACTGAGGTATACGCCACTTGCCGAGCCCTCGAATCTTCCACGCCAAAGATGATTGCCGACATGATATCCGTAATCATCAATGTAGAGTACAGGAAGCGTTGCTGGTTTCTTTGGATTGGTGGTATTCATGTGGTCAGCAGCGACCCACCAACTATCATCATAAGTAGGTAGACGCTCAGGTAAGCTGTCATTTATCTTCCAGCCAGAGATTATCGGCAAGGTTAAGGAATCAATCGTAGGGCCAGCAAGACTACCGACGAAGCTACCGTAACCTGTCTTATTTGTTGTGATGGTTTGACCATTCCAGGTGACTCTACTTACGGACTTAGATGGGAAGACCTCGATTTGTGTCTTAGTCCCGTTGTTGTCTCCGGTAAGATCCAGTGTCGTACCATCTGAGGAATAGGCAACGCTTCTGACTAGGCTCGGGCCTTGTACGAAGACAGTCTCGTTCGCGGGACTGAAAGGATCCACCGTCAGAACTGGAACCCAGAACTTGTATGCGTGTGATCTATCCATGACGAGAACACGAAGTCCATCATCAAATGTCAAGATAGTGATACCTTCAGATTGTGAAATGGTCACGAGAAGATCATCCCCTTGTGGGTAGAAACCAACAGAAGAACAACCCCCACAGCTGGAAACACTACCTGATTTCGCACCAGTGACAACGAATTCGCCTGCCTCACCAGTTGGCATCCATAGAGCTAAGATGTCTTGATCATCCAAGATCGAATGGGATAGGACTTCAGTCGTAGAGTACAATAGCGAATGAGTCCCAAAATTAAAATCAGTAACGATAATCTTGGATTGAAAACCATTCAAGACTATGGGCGCAGCCTTTTGGGGAATCGTGAATGCGCCTTTCGATGTATTAGCGTTGATATGAAATTCTTCTCTCGTTCCAATAGTTGATTTCTGATGGATCGTGACATAAAATCCAGCATTATTATCAGGGTTACGTAGTTCAGAATATACAACATTTGGGTTAGTGGAGGGAGTTTGGCTCGTGCCAATTCGGTCGGTCTTTGTCAAATCTTTTGCCACCCGAAGGAAGTGGCCAAATAATTTTGTTTCCGCATACTTATCATTGATCATTCTATTTTCGGATATCGGACTTGAATAATCGTAGCTGGTTGCTACAACAGGGGCGGCCAACCATCCCCAGTTTGTTCCTCCATAAAGCATGTAGAGACTCATAGCTGTCACTCTTTGTCCAACGTTATTACGATAGAACAGATTTGCGAAATCGGCAGGAGAGTTTTCTGGACATCCACCTTCAGGGCCACCCCAAGGATTGAAACTGCCACCCTGGAATTCCGGGAGGAATGATGGTTGGGTTGGTGAGATTGCCTCAAAATGATCATAGTAATCAATGACATTGAAAGGTTTGTAGGCTCCATTTGTGGAATCACATTCAGTCAAATTGCAAGTCCAGCACGCTGGATAGCTGTCCAAGCCATAGACATCGACAGATCCATAACCATCGTAGAAGTCCTTTGACCATGAGTCCGAATTGAGATTGAGATCGTTTGACTGGAAAGGTATCGTGATACCTTGAGCTCGTGCTGAGGTTTCTAATGCTTCCATATATTGAATCGACGATAAGTTGGGAACTTTATTCAAAGGACTTCCACGCCATTGTGAACCCAACTCGTTCTCGATCTGATAAGTGAGAACATTTCCGCCATTGGTAAGTTGGTACGGGGCAACGATGGAGGCAACCTTTTCCCAGAAAGGTGTCCAGGCTTCAGTGTATCGTGCGTCGTTGTTTCGCAAAGCGCCGTAGGCTCCGGTAGTCAACCATAATGGGAACGCCCCGGCATTGGACTCGGCATTTACATAGGGCCCGGGTCTAAAAACCACGTACATTCCCAGATCCTTGGCGAGGTCGAAAATTCTCGTGAAATTGTGTGCTGCATTTTCAAAGTCGAGAGTATCAGGATTTGGGTTATGAAAGTACCAGTGCGTGTAGATTGCGAATGTATTGAAACCGGCAGCCTTGATCTTTTGGAGCACATCAATCCAGAGTTCTGGTACAGGAATCCGCCAATAATGAAGCTCGCCTGACCATAAAAAGAAGCGCTTCCCATTGACTATCAGACTATAGTGATCCCACTCAATCTGTGTAGTCAGACCATTGTTGTGTATCGGCCATGTGCTATTTGTACTAGTTTGAGCGATGCATGACCCTAGAGCCAATGCCCATGCAAATAATGATGGCAACAACATGACACACTGTTAGTAAGATAGAATATCGTATTGCTTGACCGGGAAAACGACATTTAGGATCAAGCTCTATATATACATCTCCTCCTGATCTAGGACTTCATATGTTCCCGCGTGATATGTGCGACCCGCTTCTAGGTAGCTTAAAGTCTTTTGTAGAAAGGAGGTTCTCTTTGAACCTAATTATGCACGTCTTTAAGCTGCCCAATAGATGGAGAGCAATCGGACGACTCTGGCCCGAACATGAATTCAGAAAGGGGTAGTACGTTGGCGATCTCATTGCGATATTAATCTCTCGTATGTGCGGAATATGGTTCTACCGCAATTTGATGGCCATTCCAGCAGCCGCATCTAAGTGATTTTACATGAGTCCCGCATCAGCCAATCTTTTAGAGGGTTCTGTACTCGGCAGGCGACAATTTTGATCAAGACGGTGGGTATTTCCTTGACAGCTGTAAAGATTCCCCATAAGGTCACGGATAAAATTGAGATAATTTTCCGCCCAATGAATTGATGTTTACTGAGGTGGGTGGTTTATCAGCCAAGGGTCTAGGACCGATGAAGTTGACAACAGCAAAGGGTTCAAGAAGTGGAGGTGGCTGATGCAAGTCCTTCCAAGGTTCTCCGTTTTTCGGCACAAATTCGGCTACACGTGACTCTGGAGTGATCTACATAGTTATCTGTTCTGAGAGTAGCGGAACTAGAGGACAGGAGTACAGACATTTAGTAGCCACAAACATTAAAACTGTAAAATATAGCAAAGAATTGAAAAAATAGATGGAGCTCGGATCACGTGACATGGCACCAGATGCTCACCATCTGAAGATTTCGGGTTCGGAAAAGACAAGAGAGAGAAATGGGCTTGAATTATCTCCTTAAATGCCGGAAGCGCTACCATCGCCTAACAGGCATCTTATCAATTAATCATATCACTAGCATTTTCGAAATATAATGAAATTATAACGAGCTAGACGCCTACGCTGGCTCTATTCCGTCTCTTAGCTAATAGACTCTATCGTCTAGATAGATTTCTTAAAACTCTATAAAAGTAATAATATATAAACGATATATATAATAAATTTTTCAAGAATATCTTATACTCTTCTAGATTATATAAAACTAGTCTAGACTATTTCTATCTTTCTAATTTTAAAGTAAGACTTATAATATAGAATATAATTAATATAGAAATCGTATAACGGAACGTAGTAAAGCACTTTACTACTAGACCAATAACTCCAAAAGAGACTAGAATAGATTAGAAGATCTATTCGTGCTTGACTATATATAGTATGATTCATTACAAATCGTTATAGCTAGAAAACTAGAAAAAACAAAATCGTTTAATTCAAATATTAAACTTTTAATTAGAATATTAATCTTAAAAGTTCTTGTCACGGGTTCACCAAGCGTGACTACCTATACCTACCTGCACCTACCTGTACCCACCTGCATCTATCACGTGCACGCTACCAATTCTTAGTTAGCTCGAATAGATGCCTTAGGCATCTATTCACCATATAGTCGGCGTCGCTCCGCGCGCCTCCTTCTCTCCTTGTCGAATATCATACATCTTACCTAGTTCCTACTAGCACCCGTATCAGCCCCGTGATAGTTCTACTAAATATATATATATTTTTAACTTGAATTAAAATCGTTTAGAATTCTTTATAAAATATATATAAACGAGAGTCTAGAAGACTATTAGCGAAAAGTAAAAACTAGATATTCTATTATATAACGGTGTGACCAAAAGGGTATAAACAGGACTCCGATTGTGTACTTAGAATCTACAAGTGAAGAGCTATGTAGGATGCTAAAAGGAGGACTATATATACAGGTATTGGGAGCCATAAGGGCTGGGCCAAAAAGGGTGAAAGAGTCCTAGGCGTAAGATGCCTAGGTCTAGAGCTATAGAGCTAGGGCTCTAAGCTGTGAAAGGAAGGTCCAAAAGAGCCGTCATATCATACTATGTATGTAGTATGAGCCAGTGGGCGGAAGAGAGCCGTCTGTTCCGTCACAAAATGACTTTTGATGGTAACAAATTTGATTTCGAATTGGTATATTGATATCAGGACTTTTCCAAGAATCTATTCTTGTGTAGGTTACTATGAAGGGGTTCTGTTTATAGGTATAAAGAAGGGTAATCTTATTATTATGATATAAGGTGAGATTGTATAGAATCCACTAGAGTCGCACCTTCCATATTGATCCCT